GGCCCAAATTGATCTCTGACTGTGACTAACTGGATGTGCTCTCTTCATCTTCTGACATGGGAGCTGGCTCGGAGCTCGTCTGCCTGGCTGTGTGTTTCCTGGACGGGGCCGCCTTTTACAGCTGCTTTTTGTATCTCTGCTTCTGTCTCTTTGAACCCCAGTGGGCCTCAGCAGATGGCCGCTCACACTGAGCCTGGTTCTGCTGGAGGTTTCTTCCTGTTAAAAGGGAGTTTTTCCTCTCCACTGTCGCTACAAGCATGCTTAGTGTGAGGGATTGCTGAAGAGTCAATGAGTCGATGCAATCAGCTGGTTTTCCTTAGATAGAAAACTTTGAATCAATTTGACTGTATGATCTGGTTGAACTGTAAAGTGCCTTGAGATGACATGTGTTGTGAATTTGGCGCTATAGAAATAAACTGAATTGAATTGAATTGAAAGTCCTAGGGAAATCCTATCTGAATGTGAAATCATTCTGGCTGAAACATGTATATAAATGTTCTCTTTATCAGACGGTATTGTTCCAAAATGTAGAACATTTCAATAAAAAAAATCCTGTCTTTAAAATCAGAGGGTTGTTTTTCGTTTACGACTTTAAGCCTCAAAAATCTTTTTATGTCTACAAGGATTTCCAACTGCTGTGTGAAGGTGAGCATATCAACATGTTCAGGTCATGTTTTTTGCTTTTTATAGTTATATTTATTTTATTTTATTTGTTCTTGAATTCAGAATGTAAAAGAGACATTTTGCCAATGAAACAAGACAATTTACATTTAAAATAAGAAAATGCAATTGCATTGTCTTATTTCAAGTGCATTTTATCTCAAAATAAGGGTAAATACACTTAATTTAAGACATTTTTTACTTATTTCTAGATCATTTTTCCTACGGAAGAGGATTAGGGCCACTAAAAAAAAAATAAGGTTAACTGATTTTTAAATTTTATTTCAGTTTAACATGGGGAAAAAAAGTCAGAATTGTGACTTTTTTCTCAGAATTCTGACTTTAATCTCAGAATTCTGACTTTAATCTCAGAATTCTGACTTTAATCTCAGAATTCTGACTTTTTTGAAAAATCTGCGAGACAAAGCAGACCTTTTCCTCCAGGGAGCTGATGGTATTCTCGTCTCTGCTGACCATCTGGCTCCGCCCACAGCGATGTAGATCATAGATGAAGATGTTTTTTTTCTATCAGCTAGGGGCTGATGTTCAATCTACTGGTTCTGTGGAAGAAGAAAAAAACGATTTGAAGCGTGGGCCAAAGAGGTTTCAGGTTTCCACAGAAACGAGCTTAATTGGTGCTTTTTTTTTTCTGCAGAGTCTGTAGGGATGCAGATCTGACAAACACACCTCACCACGGGGAAACACCTGAGCTACATGGGTTTGTTTGTCTTCTAATCCCCAACGGTGTACACCACAGAAGACTTGACCTTGTTTTCAGCTTTAAAGGCTCTACTTTTTTTCTTTTTTGATGCGTTTCTACTTTTGGGGGGGGGGGAAGAGTTAATGAGACCTCAGGAGAAAAGAGCGGCAGGTTTTGCGACTTTGTGTTATTTACATAAGGTAATAAATGAAACCAAAGCAACAGTGAAAGGATAAATTGGCTTCCGGTTGATGTTGACAGATTGAGGAGAAGTTGGGATTTATTAGAGCATGTTGGGATTTATGGTTTTCTTAATGGAACGTTATAAAAAGAAACCATGGTTAGAAACGGTCTATTTTTAGAGCTTAAGTCATACGCTGTGACTTCTAGGGTTAGTGAGGCTGAAAAGCTACCTCATTTTAAAACAGGAAGATCTTCCAACTGGACCAGTTTTAAGGAGTTGATCCAAAGTATTTGATTGTTCATGGAATTCAATTTAGTTTATTTATATGGCGCCGATTCACAACCCGTCATTTCAAGGCACTTTACTGAGACAATTCAACCAGATCATCCAGTCAGATTGGTTCAAAGTTTTCTTTCTAAGGAAAACTAGTTGATTGCATCGACTAGAAAGCAATCCCCACACTAAGCATGATTGTAGCGACTGTGGGGAGGAAAACTCCCTTTTAAACTCCAGGAAACACGCAGCCAGGCAGACGAGCTCCGAGCCAGCTCCCATGTCAGAGGATGAAGAGAGCACATCCAGTTAGTCACAGTCAGAGAAACAGGACTACAATGAAAAATAGTGGTGGTGTAAATAATAATCGTTTTGTATCGATGCATCGATCCAACAGCCGACGATCCGATGCATCGATACGTCCGCAAGAGAATCGATTCATGGTTTTTTTTTTCCTCCGGTCTATTTTTATCCATTTGCTCCTGGGCGTAATTCTTCCTCCCGTGCTGCGGTGGCGCTAAACCTATTTTGCCCTCCTACCTCGCTTCCTGGTTATACTCTTACAGCAGTGTGTTGCAGTGAGCTTGATGCAGACATTTTTAAATTATGCTCGATATTGAAGCGTGGTCTGTGCTACACGCTGTGGGTCTAGATACAGCCGAGGCGGCAAGGAAGTGGGGGCGAGTTTAGTCCGACGACGGAGGGACGTGAGGGCCAAAAAGTGCGGAGATCCAGGTGGTAGGCTGTTATTACCAAATTAATCCTAATCCTAACCCTAAAGTAATATATTCCCCCCCTCAGAATTAATGAATCCATTTATGTGTAATCTGAAAATAATTTCTGTAATTCATGTACTGTAAAAATAAATGAATAAAAATAAAATGATCCGCCTGTTGCTCATAATAAACAAATAAATAAATAAATAAATCTCATATCCTGTCAAATGAGTTGTAGAATCCTCTCCCTGTAAATATTAAATTCTCAGTAAAAAAAAAAATTCTAATAATTCCTCGTCAAACTGACTTGCCATGTTTCCTTTTCTAAAACGAACGTGTGTAGTGGACGTAGTGATGGACTCTTTTTGTTGTTTTATGCACAAAACTATGACAAAAACCTGATTAATCCGGAAATAAAACGGCGTGATTGGCTGTAAGGAGAGCAGAGACGGAGGAAAATCTTTGTAATGCGTTTTACTAAGGGGATGCTGGCATGACGCGGTATGCTGTGGATAGTTTTTAAAGTGTTGACAGTTTATCAGAGTTTTACTTCCTTGTCCTGCTCCCACTGCGTATCCACACACAGCGGCAGCAGACAACGCATCACAACGTTAAAAGTTTTTCTTCCTTTTTAACCTCTTGATGTGGTGTGGTCAAGACATTGGCTAAATCAGCCGATATTGATACATCGATGTCTGTATCGCTGTATAACTCTCATCTCTTTATACAGTTTGCTGCTGTTTGACGTCTCTGTTCTTCTTCTGTGTTTTTGGTCCACTTTAAGGTTGTAACCCATCCAGACTGGCGTCTGATTGCAGCTGCATGCTAATTTTTATACTAAAGACTCTGCGAAAATGATCCAATTAAAGCAAACATTGAAATGAAGCATCCTTTGTGTTTTTATGCTTTGTTTCAAAAAAGATAAAAAAAAAATCCACTGGACTTTGTTTCCAAGTTTGAAGACGTTTCTCTTCCCATCCAGGAAGCTCTTTCAATTCAAAATGTCAGAAATGGCATCGAGTTTTAGGCTTTATACAGTAGCCCAACAAATCCTTGTTGTGGTTTAGAAAACATGCAAATAGAAACAGACAAACGGGTCCACCCCTTCGGAATCGTGGTCATTCGGCTACCTTTGTTAGCCTGAAATGCCCAATAGCTGTGTTGTTGGGCTACCTTATAAAGCCTCAAACTCAACGCTATTTCTTTTTGAGTTTTCAAAGCTCTAGTGGCTTGTTTTTATGGACAGTAGGCTGACAAGAAAGGGGTAGGAGAGAGGGGAGAGACATGCGGGAAAGGACCACAGCCGGATTTGAACCTAAGTTGTCTGCGTCGAGGACTAAAGGCCAATTTATGCCTCTGACGCATAGCATCTGCAACCGTCAAATCTGTCTCTGTGCACCTCAGAAAAATCCTGACTACGCGTCGGACCGTCGCAAACCTGCGCAGACCTCAAGCGGAAGTGCGCAGACAAAAAGCATCAGTGATTGGTCCTTGGTATGCCTTTTCGGCTGTCTGTGTGGTCGTTCTTCTCGATTCGGTACCGGGGCACGCCGTTTTTTAAAAACCGAGGAACAACTACAATGGACAACTACGACGAAAGGTTAATCAAGGTGGTTCGGAAGTACAACCACTTGTACGATGCCTCAGACATATTATATAATGGTGCCAAGGTCTCTGCCAAAACAAAGTTCTCATGACCATTCGCCGAAGTTCTCGCAAGTTCTTTAATAGGCTCCCCCTTGCGCTTTGGCGGGAACCTGCTGTGCGTTCCTAGAACTTCCAGACCGAAAGTGCAGAAGCATACCAGCAAAAGTGGTTCGCGACCAGACCCAAGAGACATTTAGGTCGTGTGCTCTATCCACTGCGCCACCAAAGCACTCCCCCTTCACAACAAGCAAACAATACCGACCATTTATTAAGACACAGGAGGATTTTTACGGGCATCCTCCTGCCCCAAATCAACAAAGAAAAGTTCGGCAGAGATTTTGCACCGTTTGTCTCTCAGACCCCGAGACGCTTGAACACCTGTTCCTCCGCTGCCCTGGCCGTAGTATCTTTTGGGACAAGATTGGCGATATTATGGAAAGTTTGGAACCGGGCATCAGCAAAGGAAACAAAGAGTGGGACTGGATAAGACTTTTTGGAACACAGAAAAAAAGACAACACTCGCAAGACACTCGGTATACATTTGCAGGTACTATAAACTTTGACTGGTGCTGGACATAAACATGTCTTGCTCCAGCCTTGCGCTGTAAACGCACACCACACTCTTTCTCATGGTATTTTATGTACCTGCCAGCTTTCTTCTGCCAACATTAGACCCAAAATGGACGACGGCAAAGTTAAAAAAAAAAAAACCAACAATCTTTACTGAAAAAATCTTTGCTCAGCGTTTTACGTCACTGATTAAATCAAACCTTATGATTGATTTGTTAGTCTTAACAAAAAACTTTCTGTTTCATTTCAGTATGCAAGGATCCTCCTTACAAAGTGGAGGAGTCGGGGTACGCTGGATTCATCCTGCCTATTGAAGTCTACTTCAAAAACAAGGTACTTTGCAGTAGTTTAAGCTTTGGTTTAAGGGAAGCTGTTTTCAGAGGTAGGAAGGATATCTGTTTATTAGATCTTATGCCACTGGGATAAATGCTAAGACCACTCCCCTATAACGCAATCACCCGCTGCATAGGTGTATACCTGCGTGTGACGGTTATTTTAGATGTAATCCCAGATGATGTGCTTCATGTTGTCGTAGTTTGCCTCCATGTTCATCTTTTTTCCTTCTCTCCTCCCCTCCTTCTTGGTGGCTGCCACTTTTCTTAGGAAGAACCGAAGAAAGTTCGGTTTGATTACGACCTGTTCCTCCACCTGGAGGGTCACCCACCTGTCAATCATCTCCGCTGTGAGAAGCTCACGTTCAACAACCCGACGGAGGAGTTTAGGAGGAAGCTGCTGAAGGCTGGAGGGGTGAGACCGAGATGAATCCAACAATGATTGACTGCTCTGGTTTTTGAATTGGGGACATAATGCCTGTCAGTCAGACTTTGTGGTGAACGCTTCTCTTAGAGGCGATTCTATCGTGGCTTCTAGAGGCGATTCTATCATGGCTTCTAGAGGCGATTCTAACATGACTTCTAGAGGCGATTCTAATGTGGCTTCTAGAGGCGATTCTAATGTGGCTTCTAGAGGTGATTCTAACGTGGCTTCTAAAGGCGATTCTAACATGGCTTCTAGAGGCGATTCTAACGTGGCTTCTAAAGGCGATTCTAACATGGCTTCTAGAGGCGATTCTAATGTGGCTTCTAGAGGCGATTCTAACATGGCTTGTAAAGGCGATTCTAATGAGGCTTCTAGAGGTGATTCTAACGTGGCTTCTAAAGGCGATTCTAACATGGCTTCTAGAGGCGATTCTAACGTGGCTTCTAGAGGCGATTCTAACGTGGCTTCTAGAGGCGATTCTAATGTGGCTTCTAAAGGCGATTCTAATGAGGCTTCTAGAGGTGATTCTAACGTGGCTTCTAAAGGCGATTCTAACATGGCTTCTAGAGGCGATTCTAACGTGGCTTCTAGAGGCGATTCTAACATGGCTTCTAGAGGCGATTCTAATGTGGCTTCTAGAGGCGATTCTAACATGGCTTCTAAAGGCGATTCTAATGTGGCTTCTAGAGGCGATTCTAACATGGCTTCTAGAGGCGATTCTAATGTGGCTTCTAGAGGCGATTCTAATGTGGCTTCTAGAGGCGATTCTAACGTGGCTTCTAGAGGCGATTCTAACAAGGCTTCTAGAGGCGATTCTATCATGGCTTCTAAAGGCGATTCTAATGTAGCTTCTAGAGGCGATTCTAACATGGCTTCTAGAGGCGATTCTAACGTGGCTTCTAGAGGCGATTCTAACGTGGCTTCTAGAGGCGATTCTAACATGGCTTCTAGAGGCGATTCTAACGTGGCTTCTAGAGGCGATTCTAACATGGCTTCTATAGGCGATTCTAACGTGGCTTCTAGAGGCGATTCTAACATGGCTTCTAAAGGCGATTCTAACGTGGCTTCTAGAGGTGATTCTAACGTGGCTTCTAGAGGCGATTCTAACGTGGCTTCTAGAGGCGATTCTAACAAGGCTTCTAGAGGCGATTCTATCGTGGCTTCTAAAGGCGATTCTAACGTGGCTTCTAGAGGTGATTCTAACGTGGCTTCTAGAGGCGATTCCAACGTGGCTTCTAGAGGCGATTCTAACGTGGCTTCTAGAGGCGATTCTAACGTGGCTTCTAGAGGCGATTCTAACGTGGCTTCTAGAGGCGATTCTAACGTGGCTTCTAAAGGCGATTCTAACATGGCTTCTAAAGGCGATTCTAACATGGCTTCTAGAGGCGATTCTAACGTGGCTTCTAGAGGCGATTCTAACGTGGCTTCTAGAGGCGATTCTATCATGGCTTCTAGAGGCGATTCTAACATGGCTTCTAAAGGCGATTCTAATGTGGCTTCTAGAGGCGATTCTAACATGGCTTCTAAAGGCGATTCTAATGTGGCTTCTAGAGGCGATTCTAACATGGCTTCTAGAGGCGATTCTAACGTGGCTTCTAGAGGCGATTCTAACATGGCAGCGCTACACTGGGACAAATTCTAAAACATCATCAGGCGAAAGAGAGACGAACCAGAGGCCTGGACCACGAAGCAGGATCACTGGGTTAGCCAGATAACTTTGCGGTTCCACGAAGCAGGATACATTCTTTTTTTTTCTTTTTTTTTTTAGTTTATATATTTTAACAGTACAGACCAAAAGTTTGGACTCACCTTCTCATTCAAAGAGTTTTCTTTATTTTCATGACTAGGAAGATTATAGATTCACACTAAAGGCATCAAAACTATGAATTGTGGAATTGTATACTTACAAAAAAGTGTGAAACAACTGAAGGTATGTCTTATATTCTAGGTTCTTCGATTTGCTTTGATTCTGTTGTGTGTGTGTGCGTGTGTATGTGTGTGTGTGTGTGTGTATGTATATGTATATATATATATATATATATATATATATATATATATATATATATATATATATATATATATACACTATATTGCCAAAAGTATTTGCTCACCCATCCAAATTATTGGAATCAGGTGTTCCAATCACTTCCATGGCCACAGGTGTATAAATTCAAGCACCTAGGCATGCAGACTGTTTTTACAAACATTTGTGAAAGAATGGGTCGCTCTCAGGAGCTCAGTGAATTCCAGCGTGGAACTGTGATAGGATGCCACCTGTGCAACAAATCCAGTCGTGAAATTTCCTCGCTCCTAAATATTCCACGGTCAACTGTCAGCTGTATTATAAGAAAATGGAAGTGTTTGGGAACGACAACAACTCAGCCACGAAGTGGTAGGCCACGTAAACTGACGGAGCGGGGTCAGCGGATGCTGACGCGCATAGTGCGAAGAGGTCGCCAACTTTCTGCAGAGTCAATCACTACAGACCTCCAAACTTCATGTGGCCTTCAGATTAGCTCAAGAACAGTGCGCAGAGAGCTTCATGGAATGGGTTTCCATGGTCGAGCAGCTGCATCCAAGCCATACATCACCAAGTGCAATGCAAAGCGTCGGATGCGGTGGTGTAAAGCACGCCGCCACTGGACTCTAGAGCAGTGGAGACGCGTTCTCTGGAGTGACGAATCGCGCTTCTCCATCTGGCAATCTGATGGACGGGTCTGGGTTTGGCGGTTGCCAGGAGAACGGTACTTGTCTGACTGCATTGTGCCAAGTGTAAAGTTTGGTGGAGGGGGGATTATGGTGTGAGGTTGTTTTTCAGGAGCTGGGCTTGGCCCCTTAGTTCCAGTGAAAGGAACTCTGAATGCTTCAGCATACCAAGACATTTTGGACAATTCCATGCTCCCAACTTTGTGGGAACAGTTTGGAGCTGGCCCCTTCCTCTTCCAACATGACTGTGCACCAGTGCACAAAGCAAGGTCCATAAAGACATGGATGACAGAGTCTGGTGTGGATGAACTTGACTGGCCTGCACAGAGTCCTGACCTCAACCCGATAGAACGCCTTTGGGATGAATTAGAGCGGAGACTGAGAGCCAGGCCTTCTCGTCCAACATCAGTGTGCGACCTCACAAATGCGCTTCTGGAAGAATGGTCAAAAATTCCCATAAACACACTCCTAAACCTTGTGGACAGCCTTCCCAGAAGAGTTGAAGCTGTTCTAGCTGCAAAGGGTGGACCGACGTCATATTGAACCCTATGGATTAGGAACGGGATGTCACTTAAGCTCATATGTGAGTCAAGGCAGGTGAGCAAATACTTTTGGCAATATAGTGTATATATATATATATATATATACATACATACATACATACATACATACATATCAGTGTTGGGCTAGCTACTTGTCCACTGTAGTGAGCTAAGCTATTAGTTACTCAACAATAAATTAAGCTTCACTACACCAAAGCTACCACCTGAAGAATTATAGTAAGCTCAGGCCCCGTCCACACGATGCCTTACCCTAGCCTAAACGCACAAATTTTTCACCAAACCAGCCTCTCATCTATACGAAGCCGGCGTTTCGGGGTCTGTAAACGATCTTTTTTTTTTTATTAAGCCTTCAGAGTGGGAAGATTTTGAAACGCCGTTTTCGCGTTTCCATCTTTAAGCTCTAACCGCATTTTTTTTCTTACACGCATGCGTCATAGCGTCGCCTCTAAACACGCATGCGCGACACAGTATCACAACAACAATGGCGCGTACTGTGTTGAATGGTTGCTGCTCATGCTACTCACCCTGCTGTCGGGCTTACAACAGAATCTTCTTCTTCTGGAATATCTCCAGGAAGAACAGAGCAATATCGACCACATAGTTCAGCACCTGCATTTGACTGAACCACGAAAATGGACCCGCAGGGCAACCATGTATAAATATTAGTGCGCATGTCCAACATTTCCTCGCCTATTTTTGCTTTGGCACCACAGCGCCACTTACAGGCCTGGCATACATTTTGCAGCGTTTTCATGCATTCGTGTGGACGATCACATTTATTTTACGTCTCCGTTTTTACGACAAACGTTCTGGAAAATATTAGCGTTTCGTGTTCGTTTTGACTTCGTGTGGACGGGGCCTAAGTTACACTAATGTGTTAACAGTAGCTTAACTACATCAGAAGCTACTTAACGTTGTACTCAGTGTTGTGCCTGAACGCGTTCATTGAACGAAAGTTCATGAACTCGTTCATATTTTGGGTGAACGTGAACTGAACGTACTGCATTACTGCCTGATGAACGTTATTGTGAACTCGTTCATTCTGGTGTCTGTGAACGGCACGCTCTCTCAGTTCAACTCCGTTCAATAGGTTGCCAGATTTCTATAGAGTCCTCCAGAAGAAACCCCGACTAAATCACACCATAAACAGGCCTTAATATGTAGCGGGAAAAACACCCAATCTGGCAACACCAGCTACCAGCGTCGTAGCCTACAGCCGCGTGCGTCATCAAAACGAAATGCAGCGCGGAAGCCACAGCAGCATGGAGGCGACCGTGGAGGCGACAAAGCAGCAGTATGATCACTTAAAACAGTTTTATGACCAGGTGGTCGGTGAGGATGATGGCAACAATCTTACATTTCTCTGCAAACTTTGCCCGCCGGCTTTCAGTAAAAAAATCCGCACTTAAACCTGCCTGGTATAATTTTCCAGGATTCCTTTTTATTATGTACTGAAATGGGATTTCAAATGGAAAAAATTATTAAAATTAAAAAAAACATTTGCACCTTAAAGACTACTTTCCTGTTTTTCTTTTAATAATTCCTCATAAAAAAGACCATTCAAGCAGCACATTTGTCCTGATGTTTTTGAGAATATACTGTAGGGGTGAAAGCTGCAGCTGCTACTAGTGTGAAGTGAATGGACAGCAACAAAGCGTTAAAGCAACAATGGGGAAATGCTGTCCCCTCAATGCTAATGTAAACCCTGGTTGGATAAGG